TTTTTTTTTTTTTTTGAGACAGGGTCTCAATCTGTCACCCAGGCTGGAGTGCAGTGGCATGACCACAGCTCACAGCAGCCTTGAACTCAGCTCCAGTGATCCTCCTGCCTCAGCCTCCGAATAGCTGAGATTAGAGGCATGTGCCACCATACCCAGCTTTTTCTTTTCTTTTTTTTTTTTGGAGACGGAGTCTCGCTCTGTTGCCCAGCCTGTAGTGCAGCAGTGCCATCTCGGCTCACCACAACCTCCGCCTCCAGGGTTCAAGCAATTCTCCTGCCTTAGTCTCTGGAGTACCTGGGATTACAGGCATCTGCCCCACGACGCCTGGCTAATTTTGTATTTTTAGTAAAGATAGGGTTTCTCCATGTTGGTCAGGCTGGTCTTGAACTCCCAACCTCAGGTGATCTGCCCACCTTGGCCTCCCAAAGTGCTGGGATTACAGGCGTGAGCCACCATGCCTGGCTCCCCCACCCCACCTTTTTTTTTTAAGTAGAGATGAAGTCTTGCTTTATTGACCAGGTTGGCCTTGAATTCCTGGCCTCAAGGGATCCTCTCACCATGGCCTCCTTGAATGCTGGGATTATAGGCATTAGCCACCAATATTCTTCCTTCCTTTGGAAACCTGTATTTCACATCGTATCTCCTTATCTCACATTGTTCCGATAGGGCTGTCAACACACTACCCACTGCCCATTCACCCTCGGGGGTGGGCATATAATCATAATAGCCCACTTCTTTTCTTCAAGATGGCCACGTGACCCAAGGTGGGCCAATCAGTGTCTTTCTCTGGGACTTCATGCTTGAAGGTCATAAGGAAGACTGCCTTTTTGTCACGGTGTGGGCAAATTAAAAAATTAATTTAGCAGTCAAGTAAGATGCATGTAAGAATCAGTTTACAAAAAGGTCAAACAGATGAAACTAACTTTGGAACAGCAAAATAACACATAAGAATATTCTATCTAACAGCGAGGGAATGAGAAAACTAAAACGTGTGCTGAGAAAAAAAAAAGTGCTATAGTGATGTAAAGATATAAATATTAGGCCAGGTGCAGTGGCTCACTCCTGGAATCTCAGCACTTTGTAAGGTTGAGGCAGGAAGATTGCTTGAGGCCAAGAATTCAAGACCAATCGGACCAACATAGCGAGACCCAATCTCTACTTAAAAATAATAATGCATAAATTAGATGCCTCAGCCAGTTTAGAATGTAGAAAAACATGTGGAAAAAGAGAAGTTTGCCCCAGTATTTTTCTAGGCAGAAGGTAACCAGCTAGGAAGTGGTGGACTATAAAAAGAAAAGAGGAAAATAATAGGAAATAGGAAAAATAGACAAGGAGTATGCCATAGGATGTGTTGGTTGATGGAATAGTGGCCCCTATGCAAGTTAGGGGCCACTATTTAAATAGTTTTCACTATTTGGGGAACTCTAAAATGATAATTATAGTCAACTCTAGATTATCCAAATTATGCGTTTTCCATGAAAAAAAAAAAAAGGTTACTTTCAACTAATTGGGATAGATAATAACAAACCCTTTGGTTAACACTTTTTTTGTTGTTTTGGTTTTTTTGAGACAAAGTCTCGCTCTGTTGCCCAGGCTGATGTGCAGTGGCATGATCTCAGCTCACTGCAATCTCTACCTCCCAGTTCAAGCGATTCTCCTGCCTCAGTCTCCGAAGTAGCTGGGAGAACAGGCACATGCCACCATGTCCAGCTAATTTTTGTATTTTTAGTAGAGATGGGGTTTCACCACATTGGCCAGGCTGGTCTCGAGCTCCTGACCTCAGGGGATCTTCCTGCCTTGACCTCCCAAAGTTTGAGGATTACAGGCGTGAGCCACTGTGCCAGGCCAATTCAGCATTTTTTTTT